TACATTCAAAGGGTTCAAACACCAAACCAAAGCCTCCCACGGAGCAATTTATATTTCCCTGTAATGTACTTTCAGTATCTTTACTTGTTTTCCTAGGAGTAGTGTTAGATTGTAAGGAAAATCAATTCATCAATATATCATACGACCCTTGATTTTCAAGGCGCCGGAGCACCATCCTTGTTGTTCGTTCACTCACCCCATATATCACGCGATCGTCGCTCCCTGAGCAGCGCGCCGGAGCACCGCCCAAAACCCACCACCAACACCATCACTCAACGGCCTTGTAGTTCAGGCCGTGAACCTAATAGCCGAGACAAGTTCCTCTCTCGGCTACAATCGTTTGATTAGGAAGACGAGTTCAAACAGGCGCACCACTTATCCACCCAACACTCATCAACACATCGACGCACGGTAGACCGTGCTGGCACGCCCGCGCACAACCGCACCGCACCCAAAAGCAGGAAACCGCGTGTTAACGCATATCCCCTCGGCCCGGAACTCCAGGCCGTGAGATTTGCGCGGCAGACAGAAGGAGGGCGTCTTTCTTTGAACATAGGAGAAACTAGGGTTAATTCAAAGAAGGTTGGTAGTTACCTAGGAGTAAAAGGCACGCCATTGTGAATTGTGAATCGTGATGGGTTTTATTTTTTTGATCGAAAGTGAATTGTGTGGGTTTGGTTGCACATAAATTTGGAGTCCCACCTAAACAACCAACAAGTTTTGACCAAACAAAAAAACAACCTACAAGTTACCGCAGACAAAATTCAGACAAAGGAAAAAGGAAGATTTACTATTATAACTAATATAGGAGTCGAAATTATAAAATAAAAAATTCTATATGAAATGGATTATAGAAACACACCCAAAGTCCATTTACAATATAACAAAAAGACTTTTAGCTTTTGTTAAATTACAAAACTGCCATTGATTTCTTAAAACAAACTCAATCCCAAAACCACATTTAAAAAATCAAAATTAAATTCAATAGGGTCAGCTGTCATTTTTTGGATTTTTTTGGTTTGTTTATAAAAATTAAATAGTTTGGGGTTTATTTATATTATTAGTGCTAAGAATGGATATATGATTAAATATCTCAACAACAAAAAATTCATATTGCAAATGTTCATTTAAAAGGTTCCTAAGGATTACATACCTACTATTTTAGGAATTCTCTATCCATCAAGCATCCTTGGGCAAATATCTTAGTACCTAATATCATAAATTGGAAAAATCCTCCTAATACTCACGATTTAATGTGTGAGATTTCCACACACAAAAATTATCTCGATGAAATGTCATTGTTTCATCTAATTTCAAATATTGAAAAATAGGTTATGGATTTTTTTTTTTTTAAGGAAACTAATAACAAAATCCCTTTATTAGTTGTTTGGAAAACTATGTGTAAACCAAGAAGTACGAGTAGTTTAGGCTTAACAAATTCCCTTTATACTTGCATTTTGTGTCTCACATTACCCCACTCTGTCAAGTTTTTCAATAAAATCGTTAATTCGCTCATGTTGCATGAGTATTTTAGTAATTTTATCCAATAAAAATTTAAAATCCAAATTAATATAATAAAAAATAGGGAAATAGTGCTTAATGCCACCATTTTTTAAATTTTAACTGGAAATACCACTTTTCCCCATAAATTTTGCAGATATCACCTATAAATATATACTTATTTCCCATTTATTGGCCGAATAACACTTTTGGTCAGTTTTTTTGGTTTCTCTCTCAGCTCTCTCTCTCTCTCAACTCTATCTCATAGTTCTCTCTTCCTCTCTCTCTCTCTCTCTCTCTCTCTCTCTCTCTCTCTCTCTCTCTCCATCTAGCTAACTACACCTCTTCTCACGAAAAAGAAGATAAAAAACAACCTACAAAACCCACAACTTTGCCCCCAAAACCCAATTCTTCCTCTTCCCGACCCAAAAATAAGACTATTCACTATTTAATTAAATTAAAAGTTGAAATTTCCAATTTTTGCCCTCGGGGTAGGGGCAAAATGGTCATTTTTATCCGGAAGGATTTTGGGGCAGTGGCTGGTATATTTACGTAGGTCGTACTGAGACGAGGCCGTAGACATGTAGTGGACTCGATTTGGAGTTGTAACGAGAAAGTTACGAGATAAAGACTCTCAGTGGCACAATCGTAATTAATTTGAAGTTCAATTTTTATTAAAATCTCAGAATTCTTTCTCTCTCTCTCTCCCTGCGAGCAGCCCCCCTCCCCTCTGGTTTTCTGCACAGCCGGTGGCTCCAAGGAGCCACTGCCGCCGTTACAGGCCATGGCTGGCCCCGGGATCGGACCCAAATGAACTGGCAGCCACTCTCCTCCCTCTCCGGTCAAGCCCAGCCGTCGAAAGCGCCGGAATCTGCCGGATTTTTGGCAGAAATCGGCTGGAATTCGTGGAAAATTCGCGGAGCTCGTTTGAGCGTTTCCGACCATCGTTTTGGTCGAACCAGGTATGGATCTTGAACCTCTCGAGCTGTTCTTGCTGCTGGTAATGTTAGTTTTGAGAAATTTCCGTGTGTTGGTAGTCGTTTAAGCGATTGAAAAATCTGCCAGCTTCGGCCCCCGATTTCAGCCACTTCCGTCGACTTTTTGAGGTATGTCCAAGAACAAAAGTGGCTCCAAATTAGGTGTATTACCTAGGGTAGGAGTCTTGGCCCCTAATTTTGAGTTTTTCCGGCGAGTGGTGATTGCTTTGGACACCCACGCGCTGCCGGCGCGTGTGGCGGCGCGTGGGCACTGTATCATAGGGGCATTTTTGTCCCAATGCAATCTCCTAGTTGTCACGAGCGCGTAGGAATTCGCGGATCTCAATTCGAATAACGTTTGAACCCCGAACGGATTTTACATATCGTGTGTTATCCGGGTTCGATATGTTAGAACCGTTGGATCACTTCCAAATTAATATATGTTGATCTAGGCATTCCTAGGATCATGTAGGATGCGACGGATCGTGAATCGGAGCCCCGGATGTTCCGATTCAATAACTTAAAGTTTGTGTTTTACGATAACCGTCCGATCGTGCGATCGTGAGCGATCCGACCGTCCGATCTGGACCAGACTTGTAGGACATATTTCCTAGACCTTGTGGAACCCATAGGAATTTTCGGATCATAAAACGGAGGTCGTGGGTCCCGCTGGCTCGGTTGACCAATATTGAGCTGTTTGACCCTCCGTTGACCGTGAGTCTTCCTAGGTAGTTTCACTCTTCGAAGAGTACTACAACGACCCTTTTTGGATGAGTCTTGACCGTCATTTGGTTATGTGGGTCTATGAGTTTATTTTTATGGTTTTGTGATGGGAAGTTTATGCATATTGTTTTAATAGGTTGTTGTGAGATTTATATTTATATTTATAAGTAGATTATTAATTTGTGAGTGATTTATTATTGTTAATATTCGAGTTTCTTGAGTCATATACATAATATTTGAGGAAATGCTAGCTATGTTGATTTTGTGGGGGGTACTT